ACACACACACACACACACACACACACACACACACACACACACACACACACACACACACACACACACAAACACAATAAACCAATGTGCAGGTCAGTTTTAGGGGGAGAATCCCAATCAACAATAGAGAAGACAAATGACAGTTTGGGTGGAGTGCCGCTCTGCTGTTGACCACAACATGAGTCTGTATGTTAAGGAGGAGATCTAAGGAAAAATCAATTTTATGTTAAAAAACAAAGCAAGCACAATATTTATAATGTTGTTCCATCATTAAAAACATATCCAGAGTGTTGTTTTGACTCATTCATGCATGTTTGAGGAATCCTTGAATTTCACGTGGAGCTGCCTAAATACCTGCTGATACAAAGCACCGCCTTTTTTACACAAAGCTCCTCCCCAGAGCTCAGTCTGCAGCCGAGCTCCCGCCCCACAGAGCACCTCTTCCCTGAAGCACTGTTGAGATGGCACGCTGAAGTGGGAGTTTCAGAAATATGAGGTTCTTAAAGAGACAAAGGCCAATTTCAAGGCTTTCAGACCGACTATGATGCAAAGTCACATTCTTTTTCCATATATACAGCATTTTCCTAACAACTGAAGGTAACATAGTGACTTGATTGTGGCGTAGTGAAACTGTGTCTAGAAAATACATACTACCCGCCCCCACACACACACACACACACACTTAAAGAAAATATTTCTCAAACAAATCAATTTTTAATCAAACTATTTCTCTTGAAGTTGATAATATGTTGCATTATGAAACGAGCCACTGGATTGCATTTAGCAAAGAATGAATTTATGGTTTTCTCAAGTTAATTAGTCCCTTCAATTAAACCTCTGATTGCGATGAATAAATTACAAGCCGACATCCTGATTTCTGTCTTCAGAAGTAGATAGAAGTTTTGTTTTCTATTTTTTAATAGAAGTTTGAAGAACAGTGATGCACCTGTAGGATGTCATGTTCTTTGGCTGCTATTTTCTGTCCCACCTGCTTTTGCCTTATGTTCTGTAAAGCACAACATCGTAATGATTGACATCAACCCCAAAACGAATCAGGGACGAAACCAGGTGCGCAAAAAATAGATTGTACACAAACATATAAAAATGGACAATTCCCACTTTCTAATGTTATAAAATGAGTGTTCAGCTCCCTTATAAGTTCATGTTTAACTAATTTTTTTAAATCCCTCCTTCTAGTTTATCAACTCTAAGATTCTAAGTTCTCCTGCAAACAGTTTCAACTCACAAGTACAGTATGTGAGACATGTTTGACTGTTTAATGTTATGTGCATTAAAAGCAAGTATTGCAGAAAAAGAAAAGGAGTAAATGAGAATAGGAATAGGTGTGTATGTGTGGATGACAGAATGAACCAGTGAAAACATATTTATCCATCAGCATCAGTGAGAAAAGATTAACCAGTTAATATGGATTTGACTTGTTTTTTCCACATTATCTTTTTACTTCTCAGAATTGCAGAAGACTTGAGCTCGAGAACTGCCTGACCTGATACCTATGGAATATTGATATAGAAGCTTTAACAAACTTTTTTTTATGTATCGGCAAACATGTTTCTAAATCCCAAGCTAAGTGATCTGCACATAATCTCACAGGCTCCCTTTGAAGTGGTTTTATAGTAGGTCATATCTGAATTAGTGTAAGTCACAAAGGCTGTGGTTGAGTCTTGTCTAGACCACTCAGTGTGTGTGTGTGTGTGTGTGTGTGTGTGTGTGTGTGTGTGTGTGTGTGTGTG